AGAGAGAGAGAGAGAGAGAGAGAGAGAGAGAGAGAGAGACAGAGAGACAGAGAGAGAAGTCATTTGGTATTACAGAGCATTTTTGCAAGTCACCAAGAATAAAGCACATTCTTTTAACTAACTCTAGTAGAAAAGACGTGAAGTTTGTCCCATTAAATTGATCCATGGAATAAAACTCAACCTCCTACATTTTAAAACGTCGGGGTTTAAATGGTTCAATCTTACCTCTGTCCCCGACAACAAAGCAATTCTTCAGCGGTCCTATTTCTGAGAAAACCTCAGCCAGATGTTCATTGGTGGCTGCTGCAGGTAATCTCCTGACAAATAACGTGACTGCAGGCATTTCCCACGAGTCCAGCAAACGTCTCTAAAACAACACTGCTGATTACTGGCTATGGCAGATATTGTTATATACAAGTCGCGATAACATTAAAGATCTTGTCATATGAATGCCTGTAAACAGTTCAGTAGTAATAAGGCACGTTTCCTCGCGTGCTTCTGCTCTACAGGAAGTTGTCGTGCTGGAGATTCTTCGTTTGTGTGGCACTGCGCGGTGAGGAACAACACTGACACCTGCTGGTCTGGAGAAGCATGTCCGGGACGGGTAGGGCTTTTTCGAGTCCAAGCCCAAACAGGTCACAAAATCACCACCGAGTAGCCCAAACGACTCTGAAATGATATCTTTGTGTGAGGAGGAACAGATCGCTACTCATAAGTCTAGAAACGGATGCGTGCGAATTTGTGAATGGGATCAACTGATTGATTGAAAATATTCGACACAAAAGAACATTTTCATTGATCCACCTTTATGCTGCTTTTGCTTCACTTTGAGATTGATATCTTCATTGACCATTTATATTGCATAAAAGATTTGTGTTCCACAAAACGACACGAGGGTGCATATAATGACAGACCTTTTCATTTAATTATGTTTTATTATAATTTTTATGATTGTGTTTGCTGATAAAAATATATATATACTTTATATAAAAAAAATGTTTTTAAAGGGGAACATTTTTTAAATAATCCGAACTGTGGTTTATTCTGCAGAGAACTTCTGAAAACATGACAATGAGGTAAATTGTATTTGCACCTACTGCATGCTAGTTTACTTTGTGTGTGTGTGTGTGTGTGTGTGTGTGTGTGTTTAACATTTTCCATTTAGTTAGAAAAAAAAGTCAGATTCAATGGAATCAGCCTGCTTTTATCATTATATCTTCGGGGTAAATCAATGTCTTTCTGCTCTTGGTCACTAGAGGGCGGCAACATCCACTCAATTGTTTAATATCTTATTGGCATGATTTTGCACATTGTAGAATGCATCTAAAAGTCACAGAAAAAAAGTAATCAGTAATGGTAAATAATAAAAACAAAATCATAATAACTTAAAATATAAAATGTAATTGAAATCTAAATATATACATTTCAATATAATTTTTGTAAATGTATAAATAACTTTGTATTGTACAGCTACTGTTTAGTTCAAATATGAAATGGCTGCCATCGTATTCTATTTCCATTAAGCTTTGCTCCATGACAGTATGTCACAGGCTAAAATCAGTGCTCAGAAGTAGAAATCTTGGAATTGTCTGCAAGTTTAGTACACAATGGTTAATTGTTTCAGACGTGACCAAGTCAAAATGTTTGGCTTAACACAAATACACTTTTATTTAGCTATTATTTAGAGACTGATTTTCAGATAGGTTAATTATCTTGATTTTGTTCTTGTTGGTATACCTGATCATCGGACAGACATCATGCTTTGTCCTCTGGTTCTCCTTTGTCACCCTTTCCTGTAATCCCGTCTGGTAAGTGTCTTAACCCAAAGTGTGGGTTAATCTACCTCTGAAGGACAGTTGCCAAGATGTGTGTATAGTGTGTTCATGAAAAGGCTGCTGAAGGTTTCAGCATCTCCAATACCGAGAGACACCAGTGGCATAACAGAGACTGGCTCCGGGCCCAGTTACACAAGTGCCCAGCAGAAAGGATCTTACAGCACGCTGTGTGATGAGTGTGTTTGTGTTTTCTTTGCATTAGCACTTTGGACACACCCTTCTGTAAGTATCAGCACAACAGTTTGCATGTAGACAGTGTGCATTATTTATTTGGAATCTAAAAGGCCACAAATGGCACGCGAAGGAAACAGTGGTAATGCTGTGGATTGGGTTATTGTATTTTATCTGTTTAAATTGAGATCCTCGCCGACATGTGGGGGCGTCCACTTAATAGTTGTAGTTCATAATGATAGCATATGCTTTTTAGGCTGTGATGAGAAAGACCAAATCAAGTCATCATGGTGCAGGTGCCTGTGAGTTGGTGCTTAGAGAAGACCGAGAGTGAACAGTCACAAAATGTTTTTACAGTATAACCAGAATAATATGTTGCGAAAATACACTGAAAATGACAGGTTTTCTTTAATTAGCCTCAAAACATTACTGTAACGTTTTGGTGTAATGCAAACAAAATCAGATAAAATTGCAATGTTGGTAAAACGTTTAGGTTTAGGCTTTAAAAAAACCTACAATTGGACAGAAACCTTTTGAACGGGTTTGTAAAAATAATAATAATAATAACTTTGCTTTGAGCATGGCTTGTCCAATCAGAGAATTCAGATTCTAGACAGTCTGTTTTTTTAATGTCATAATAATATTCAGGATAATATAATAATTGATGGATTACTAGACAATAAAAATGAATAATTTAACCAGTAACCAAAAACTAACTTTTTTTCTGGTTAGTCATATAACTGTGTTTTAGAGCTAAAATGGTTTAGAAATGTATATGGATAAAGCGTATTTGTTCTGTGTAAAATGAAGTACATTTCAATTCTGATGTGAAAATTCAACAGCTATTGAGTCACCAAGTTTAGAATAATCTGCCAGGCAATATGACTGTGGGTAAGACATGTTCAAGTGTAGATTCATGTTTTCTTTGACTATAGATTCATGTGATAGCGAGTTGCATTTATGATCACAGCAGGATACTGTCATGCTCCTGGTGTTGACGCAGATTCTGTAAATGGGTCATGCATTTCTCTCTCTCTGGTGGTGCTTTAAAATAAGGTTGTAGGAGGGGAAGTTATGAAAGATATTTTTCTTGCGCTGATTTGAATGCAGAGCCAAACACAACAGCGCTAAACACAGAGGAAAAACACAAAGAACACACACATATGGAATCTATCTATCTATCTGAATGTAGACTAAGGCAGTGTTACCAAATGACCTTGTCAGAGGTCAGCAAAGTGAGACAGTGGGATATTGTATGAACCCACGCTGGCAGTGTGTTGAGTGGGAGAGTTCAGACTCATGTGATGAGGAACTGATGAATACAAATGATTTCTTTTCACTGACTGAATCAACCCACCACCGCAGAGCATTTTTATTGCCACTGTTGGTAGACAGAAAATGCTTACTAAGCTGCCCTAGTTACTTTATCTGTACTTTATATTTGGAAAATGGGTGGATGAGGGCCTATATAATGCTAATATAATATGTAATAGTGACATTCTAAAACTGAAATGTATTTTATAGTTAGTGATATGGTTAAATAGTTACAAAAATGTTTTATAGTACCTTATTTAATAATCATAATGATTGGATTTTTGTAATGAATTCTAATAGTTCTTTATAGTAAAATGAATTAAATGGTCATATAGTGTTTGACTGACAACTTATTGTTTGTATTGAATGTGGGTCACTGGGGTGCAATTACTAACAATGACTTATAATACTGGTGATGTGAGCATCACTGCTGTCTTTCTAATGACAGCTGTGCTGTAATGCTCTAGGGTTGAAGAACAATCATGTCTACAGTATTGCATAATGAATACATCTGAGGGACACATGTGTGTCAGATAGCTGTTTATGAGTACAATGAAATGTAGATTATTAATTTACGGTATCATTTGCTGTTTTAAATTAATGATTTGAACAATGAACAAAAATGGTGATAGCATCTTGACTGATGTACAATAGAATGAGCCTCAGTCAAGATACTGTGAGTGTGTGTGTGTGTGTGTGTGTGTGTGTGTGTGTGTGTGTGTAATCATCACAAATCATTACAAAGAGGGGACACGCAGCTGCCAAACCATTTATACCAAAGAAAACCTACGAGACATAGAAAATTAGCCATTATTTCACTCCCATAGTCCCATAATATCTTGATGATTGTTCATTATTGTGTGGGCGTTTCCCGGGACAGAGACCATATGGAGGGTCTCAGTGGGGGGTGTGAGACACTAGAGGGAGGGTGGATGTTTACACAGGCGTCTTATGGGTCATCCGACATAAATCTGCATATGCTATTAGCATCATTAACAACTCTCAACTTGCTGTAATGACTAATGAGAAGTCACTGTGGATGAGAGGAAAGAATCTCATCCTAAACCGAATGACCCACATTCCCAGAAGCCACATGCTTGATACTTTAAATGGGCGGTGTCAGCAAGATCAAAACAAGATGGAAGAGTGACGGTTTTTGTGAGTATCCAGAAACATCAAGTTGTTATTGAACAACGTCAAAGACATACGTGACCCTGGACCACAAAACCAGTCTTAAGTCGCTGGGGTATGTTTGTAACAATAGCCAAAAATACATTGTATGGGTCAAAATTATAGATTTTTCTTTTATGCCAAAAATCATTAGGACATTAGGTAAAGATCATGTTCCATGAATATATTTTGTAAATTTCCTACCGTAAATATATCAAAACATAATTTTTGATTAGTAATATGCATTCATTTGGACAGCTTTAAAGGAGATTATTATTTTTTTCCCTTCATAATTAAATGCATTTAAAATCTGACAATTTTAGAATTAAAAAAAATAAAGTTCATAGTAATAATTAATTGTGGAGGTCTATGTGTGTTAACGCTCTAATGTAATTTACATGTTATATAAATGCTATAAGTTATAATTTATAGCCTATAAAGAGAACAGTTTCATTCCATTTGTTTCTGTTTTGCTGTGTGTGACACTATGCAGGTTTCAGATTTATGTTTTGATTGTCAACACAGATGGGACTTAACTGTGTAAAACTGCTTTTTCAGATTGCCTGTTGACGTGGACAATTCATATTTCATCCTCATCCCTGCACTAACCAGATAGACATATTCTTTCCTTGCCTACAGGCCTTTCTTCGCGTCAGCACTCATTCTCACAAACCCCCCAATTACCCTGCTGTAACCCCATCTGTGGCCATATCCTCCACAACACAGAAGCATTAATCATTCCATGAGGCCGATTCCTTTGTCTGTGGGTCAGCTTCAGATGCCAGTGCAAAGCCCTACAGCCCACATGGACCCAATTCAGGGCCATTTTTTGTCTGTAGTGAATGATTGTGAATCACTGGCTTGGTTGTGTCTCTGCGGCTGAGGCCACTTATCCAGAGCTATAGCAGTGTGCTTGGATTCAAAAGCAGCTTGGAAGAGCTTGATAGAAACCAAAGCCATCTCTTATAGCTTATCGTTATGAATTAAGCAGCAGATGGGGGGATATTATCATATTACAAGGCCATAATCATGGGATTAAATTATAAACCTGATGAATTGTGGGCATGCTCAGCCTTGAAGTTTAACTCCAACTCAAAATGATTTCTCAAAGTTTGATTCACCCCTATTAAAAAGTTTCTGAGGAAACTGAATCAGACAGCTTTGGAGAGGGACAGTTTAATATGGTCCAAGTCTTCCAGTCTCATAGGGTTGGAAATATTTTGTCTGGTTATGATGATGAAAAAAAAAATTGTGTGTAAGCAGATCATCTGTAGAAAAGATTTAGACTGGCTTAAAGTAGACACAATGTTTGTTTACGGTGGTTTAATGCAATCCAAAATAAGCCTTGTTCCCGATCCCCAATCAGTAATGTTTGTTTTTGCACTTGGTTATGTAAAGGGACATTCAGACAGCATTAAATTGCCAACCCTCAAAGAAAATGAATGACTTCTGCTTGCTATGTTGCTGAAAATTGCTGTCAGTGTGAGAGTTTAGATTTATTTGACATGTTTAGCCACTGAAAAGTCTTTTATTCAGCAAAGATGCATTAAAATAATCAAAACTGATGGTAAAGACGTTTACACTGTCACAAAAAAAAATCTATTTATAAAATATTTTATAAAGATATTCATAAATAAATGATGTTCTTCTTGAACTCAGTACATCAAAGAATCCTGAAACAAAATGAGATATTAAGCAGCACAACTGTTTGAACTGTTATAATAATAAAAACTATTTCTTGAGCACATTCAGCATATTAGACTGATTTCTGAAGGATGATGTGACACTGAAGACTGGAGTTATGGTTGATAAAATTATTTATTATATATTAATTATATATGGTTGATAAAATTATACATCATTATCTTCTGCCTCTCATATTTCTTCTGTTGTTAAAACCTCTTTTTTCCATCTTCGTAATATCTAATAATCTAGCCGATGCTGAAATCTCAATTCTTGCATTAATCACATCACGTCTGGATTATTGCAATGCTCTATTTCTTGGTCTGCCTAAAAAAAAAATAGCAAAGTTACAGTATGTTCAAAACTCAGCAGCAAGAGTTCTCACCTCCACCAGGCGTTCTGCTCACATTACTCCTCTACTGCATGATCTTCACTGGCTACCTGTGGCATCACGTATTCACTTTAAGATATTACTTCTAACGTTTAAGGCATTAAATGGTCTTGCGCCTCCATATCTGTCTGACCTACTGTACTCCTATTCTCCTGCCCGGTCTCTCAGATCATCTGAACTTGGTCTTTTGTCCATTCCTCGTTTTCGGCTGTCCACTGTAGGTCCTTTAGTGTTAATGCTCCGAAATTATGGAATTTGCTACCCCTTACACTTGGTAATATACCATCTTTGTCTACATTCAAGACTCAGCTAAAAACGTATCTTTTTAATATGTATTTTGGATAATGTGGCTATATGTGGCCTTATGTGTTTGTATTGTGTATATGGGTGTGCAAATGTTTTGATTAGCACTATGTAAAGTGACCTTGAGCTATGGAAAGGCACTATACAAATAAAACTTCTTCTTCTTCTTCTTCTTCTTAAAATTATTGAT